GGCCAGCCACAAAAACCATTTTACCTCAACTCTGAGGGTGTTTTCTCCTTCATGAAAAAGAGATTCTCCATCACAGTGACAGGTCTGGATTCAGGAGAGCCCGACACCGGTGAACTGCATTTCCCTAGTTAATTCACTGCAGATTGGGAACTCCTCTTTGTTAGCTGCCTCTCCTCTCGCAGCAGGCACAAATCCATTTAAATTCATTTGCTTTTCAAAGCGATCTCATCCCCTGTCTTCAGCGAGTCCTTGCTAGAGCTATATCAAGCTCTCTGCTTTTGGTTTACATACGTTTAGGAATATCTATGTGAGCCACAACAGAGGTTGCAACATTAATACGTTTATGAACTTTGAAATTTAAGCTAAATATTACTGCAGATCCTTTCCTTTGCCTTGGCCCCCCACTCTTCTAAAAGCCCTCAACCGTTCGGCTCTGCCTAGGGGCAACCGTGTGGGCTCTCCTCATCCCAAGGCTGCATTAAGAGAGAAGCTTTCAAGGATAACTGCTGCTCCTTGGGGAGCCCAGGAAGAGGAGCAGCAAGGAGGGCTCTCATTCCTTTATTCCTCCGCACAGCTGGGGTCTGGAGTATCCTAAGCTGCGCTAAACAACTGCTGGCTTAAGAAACAAGGCTTTGAAATCGGATTGTCAGCTCTATTGTAGTTAATGAGCCATATAACATCTGAAATCATACACATATCATTTTCTTTAAAATTGATGAACAAGGGTATAAAGAATACAAAAGAGAAATAACAAATGGAGTGTAAAGCATAATATGACCCCTGTTGCATTTCTGAGGTTCTTATGTATAATCAGACACTGGTGGATCTCACCCATCAACAGCTRCAACTGATACAAGACGCAGCAGCGATCTTAAAATTCTCTATTTAATTTGTCAGTGATTTTCGTAAATTATTAAGTTTGCAACAGAAGCCCAGATCCTGCTACTGACTTACGGCAATGCAATATCTAAATTTGGCATCAAGCAGAACCTAACTTCAATGAAAAATTAAAAAAAAAAAAAAAAAAAAAGACATAACCCACACAGTATCTCTAATGACTGGAAGGAACCCAGAACTCAGGACAGAATTTGGAGAGAATAGCATATGCAGTGGGTAAATTACTTTGAAAACCCATAAAACTGATAAAGGGAGGGAAACAACATGTTTTACATGTAAGTAATACATTTTCAACACAAATGACGCACATTGGGAGACACGGTCCAAGTTTTGGATAACAAGAACTTTCATTAAAGAGAAGTTTCAATGAACAAGATCCAGCTGAGTTTAGATCGTATCTACCTAATAAAATTAAAGATTTTGTCATAATTAATATAGATCCAGCCATTTACCTAATTAAAATGAACTGGGTAGAAAGAATTGATTATACATTTCCTTATAAATGAAAATAAACATATAAATTAATGTTCTTCCAAAGATAATGCATAATGTTAATGCTTTGATGATAGAAATCTCACATTATTTTTAACGTAAGATCCTTACTGATTAGAAAAAATATACGTGATTACAATTAGTAAGTCAGCTCTTCTAAATCAGCATAGAATTGATGGAGTTTGGACAACTTAGAGTATCTGAAAATCTTCTCTTTATCTCCACCCAGTAAGAAGCACAGCATCAACAGCTGTAGAGAGAAACCTTACAGCCACTATCAAACGAAAGTTACTTCAGATGAAAAATATAAACTCTGACAACATTGCAAACACTGGTTACCRGTTCATACATCAGAAAAGGTCAAATAAGTTTACATAATTTCTGTCATCCCAGCTGATCCGAAACGGCAAATGTGAGAAGTCTTGATATACAAGATCTCTGAAGGAAATATTAACTTTATAACTGCATTTTTGTTACTCAGTTTTTGCACTTTTTCTTTCAAAAACCGAAGCAGAAGACTAGAAAAACAAACAAGTCAATATATATTTACCACCATAAGCACAGCAAGCTGCCCCTAAACAGAGTAACATTTGAAGTTTTGGTGCATTATTTGTAGCCTTGTTTACATTCCTGAAAATGAAATAGAAGAGTATTCAAGAGCAGCACTGAACAGCCTTCTTTTCGGACACAGAAGACACCCTAAAATTATATTCCACTAGCTTTCCAATGCTCAGAAAAACAGCTGTTCAGCTTTCTGTCGTGTCACTACACCATCCTTATTGCAAAAGATAGGGACTTTGCAGAATCAACATATTTTCCTGACATGTCCTGCTCTTGCTCCCATTCTCACACTGCTTATAATAACTGCTGCATTGGCAGCACTTCTGTTTTACCAAATATTTTGATGATTATTTTCTAGAATAGTTTTTGACAGAGCCTCATGGATAGCGCTGGGCAGAGCTGTCAGACTTACCCTTTACTAAAGAACATCATTATGCTTTGAGTTAAAGATATCTGGTCAATATTGATTACATATTGTAGATTAATTTGATGATATGGGGCCAGAAATTTAGCTGGTACAACTTGGTACGGTTATAACATCCTCCACAGAAACATAATCTATCTCTGAAGACTACAGAATARTAATAAATTGGTATGCATCCTTTAACTGTTTTTAACCTGCGTTTTCATTTTCTCTAGATGTAGACGAAGTTATTTGAAGCTAATGTCCTAGTGCTGACCAGAAGTGACTGCAGCTCAGTGAGCGTTCTCCAACCTGGAGAAAACCCTCTCCCCCATGCAAGAAGAGCAGTATGTAGGACAGGGAGCACACACGGTACTGCTTCATTTTCTCTCCCTTTCAAATCCCTTCTTTCCAAGCGCTTATCTCTTCCGTACGTGTGTGCATGYGTTTCCACCCCTCCTCTCTCACAGCTGGTCTCAGTGGGGCACGAGAAGTGCTCGCCGAGCGGAGGGCAGCCGTGCAAAATGGACTCACCATTCCAGTCCAATTGCTTCAGCAGCCACTCCATGTGTAAAGCACTTTAGACACAAGGAAGCTTTTTAGACCCTAAGTTCTCTAAAACCTATTCTTTTACAGCCACGACGTCCCTGTGAAATTAGAGAGGTTTCAAGAACTCAGGTGAGGTACAATTTGCCCTGCAACCTAGAGGGAAAAAAAAAAAAAAAAGCCTGTTAAGGCCCTGCAATCTGTTCCCCCCTTTTTTTCACTCTTAGGAGACTCACAGGAGGAAAATCATTCATTGTGGAGAAGAAAGCCTTTACCTAAGAGCTTCAAGTAGGTTGTAGGCAGAAGCAYTGGGGCAACTTTTCACTGCCTCCCACTGCCTGCAACCAAAGCGCAGGATTCTTTTAAAATGAAAGGGAAGCAAGARGAATAAAACAACCTGGCTCCATCCAGCTAATGTGTTTCACATTAAATACACCTGCTATATTGTCCAATGGTAAGTACCATGCATCTTTTTCAGTCTTCTGCTGYTTACAGGTTATATTTTTCGACGACCTCATACAACTTAAGTTTAACCATTCATTTAGTAGTGGCTGTAGCTTTAAATCCTCCAGGACATGYGAGAGCAGGAAGTAATTTTTACTTAATTTGCTGAAGATGCCACAGAGGACAAACATACATGTTCTTGTTTAGATGTTCCCTGTAATCTAGATTGAAGGTCATTCTGACAGAAAATATGTGGTTGCTGTTTGCACATAGGAAAAAAAAAGCAGCTTTCCATGCAGCCAAGGCAACATCAGCCTGGTCAGATGTTCAGTGTAATAAATAYCTCTTCTCAGCACACAGACTCTGATTCAACAGTATCTCATTGGATATTTGCTCACAAAGGCTTCAAGGCCACCATTTACAAAGGAGGCTCTGATTAATTTACACGTCTTCTAATGTCACCATGGGCCAGGCTGCCTAGCCGCAATTGCCAGCCACGCCAAGTACCTGCCGTGCGGTAAGAAATACCTACATTTTCCATGTTGCTTTTGGTTGTCCTTTTCATGATATTGTCTGACTCTCCTGACAGATATTAGATCCTCAAGCTCCTACATAACCTTGGAAGTGTTTTTACACATGATTAGAATGGCACCCTTGAATTTGGACAAAATAAATATAAAAATTAATTTGATTTGTAGAAGAAAAACAAGAGAACTGGAATGTTTAGAGATGTTGTCTGCTCACCTGTGTATCCAGCCGTGCAGCTTGCTGGGATCCCAGGAAGCAGCTGGCAAGGCCGGCGGGGCCACGGGACAGGCCAGGCGCTAGCCCGGATGCCGTGGGGCRGCTGCGGAGCTGGGGAAGGTGCCGCTCCGCAGAGCCCTCACCCTGCTCCCAACTCGGGGAGCCGGCCACGCTGCAGCTCAAGACTACAGAGCAGCCTTTGGGAAGCCAGGGGAGCGTGACTGGAAGCTCAGAACTTGGAGCAGCTCAGGAATGAAACGAGCGAACAAGAGAGAGTCCTAAAGGCACTATATGTATCTTTACTAACAGATCACAGGATATTATAAAACAGGACTGGAAGGACCTTGGAGAAGAGGTCTTGTTCCCTGCCCAAAACACCATGAGCTCCTCTAATTCCTGATGGGTATATTTCTAATCTTGTGCTAAAATTTGAAGGTAGAGACTCTAAAATCTTCACAGCAAATCAATGTTTATCTATATTGTCCAAGAATGCTTTTGCCTAGAGCCTGATCAAACTTTTCTTTTTCTACTTTAATCATTTTCTGTCCTGTCTACAAGATTATTTCCTTTGCTTTTGCATCAGCTTTTTACGTCTTTGAAGATTGTTATCATGTCTCTCCTCAGTATTTTATTCTCTAGTCTAAACAACCCCAAACGTTGTCATCTTCTCTCACAGATCATCATATTGTTCTGTATTGGTCCTTTCTTCCACGAAGTGTCAGACTCAGCACTAACTCAGCTAAGGCCTTTGCAGGGCTGTAAAATGGAAGGAAGCCCTCTGCATTTTGAAGACTTCATTTCTGCTTGTACATCTAAATATGCTTCTCCCCCCACTTTTTTTTTAAACACTGGCACAGCATTGCATTCATGATCAAACTGTAATCAGCTGCAATCCTTAGCTTCTTTTCTACAAGACTGTAAATTAGTCGTTTCTCACATTCTTGCTTCTATAAATGATGTTTCTTGTCTAAGAACAGAAACTGGACTTGTCTTTAATTGCATCCTGTTTTTTTCAGACTATTGCTCTAATTTGTCAAGATCACTTGGAATTCTGATCGTGTTCTCCTCCATACTTGGAGCCTCCCCAGCTTTGTGGCATCCGCAAATTTAATAAGGACACTCTTTATTCTATCATTGAAGTTCCTAATGAAAATATTTAACAATGTCAGGCTTAGGATAGACCCCTGTGGAGACACATTTGATATATCATCCCTATTTACAACAAACCACTGGTAACTGTCCTTTTTTTCTTTTTTTTTTTTTTTTTGAAAATTTACTCATTTTGCTGACACACCATTGCAGCTTCTTTCACCTCCTGTTTTTCTAGCTTGTTTATAACCACTTTACATGAAAGAATGTTTCAAAGCATCTCTGAAGTTAGGATCTATTGCTCTGAGAGGTAGAAATACTTACAGGTAGAAGTGCTATTCCCAGACTTCTAATACCCCAATGCCTTCCATAAGCACAGCTACCTGGGCAGTTTTACACCCTTGGGGCAGCAATCTTCCCTCTGCTCCTGAATCTCTCCCAGGTTAGAAAAAGAGCATCCAAAGAAAAGAAACATTCAGGTTCAGAAATTCATGGTCTTTGGAACGGTATTCAGTGGGGAAACCAACAAGCTACAGAGGTTTGCTGCCTTTTGAGTTTATTCCTACACACCCTGGAAAAAAAAAACCTTTTAGCAAAAGATGTCTGTTCCCAGCCTGTAATTGCAGAGGGATTCTGCAGGTATGTGCAACAAAAATTATTACCTCCCAACCAGTTCATCCAATCGAGCCAGTTCCATCGGTTTTAACTCTTTCACCTCCACCACTGCTAGAGAAAGGGAGTATCCAGACCCATAGCTTATGTACRAGCTTGGCCCAATTGGGTGATCAAAGGAAGGAATGTTGGCCTGAATTTCCTCTGTTATGTGCATTACATTAGGCCCTTATCACTACTTTGATGTAAGGTTTTTTGTGGTTTAATTATATAGTAAGAAAAATTCTTAGGTAAGCCAAGGAGATCTGTCCTTATGAGTCAACCAACTACTTTCTGGCCAGCTGACTGTACATTTAATTAACATCTTAAGCATCGGTTCTGCAGTCCTACCCCAGGCAAATCTCCCATCAAAGTGAATGGGAGTTTCCATCTGTGCAGGGCTGAACACAGAGTCAATAGTACAGCCCTGCAAGTTTGGGCAAACAGTAGTCAATAGTTATGAATTTTTTAGTAATGCTGTTAAAGCATTCTTAGATTAAAATACTCCTTTCGGTTTAAAGATATTAGTCCTCTTCTTAACTACTTTCTTTGAGGGTAATTTGTGAGCAGCATATTGGTGAAAACATTAAGAAAAGTCATTTTCATTCCCCTTTGAATTTGAGTTCTTTCCTCCGTGTAGAGAGATTTGAGTCTGCTGAAGAAATCTGATAGATGCTGCATGTATGCTATCACTTCAACTGCAACTGCACAAAGTTACTCCTGCAGGCASAGACAAATGGGCATTAAAAACTGCAGGTTTCAAGATACATTCTGGACAATGGCTAAAAGGAAGAGATGTGTTTTTAAATGTTTAACATCAGCCTAACATTTTAGCCATTGAAGTCAATGATAAGTCTGCTGTTGACTTAGGAAAAAAAAATAGGTTATTGCTCAGTACTTTTGAAACATTTTCCTAATAATAATAATTCAGCATATTAAGTGTATCATCCATTACTAATGCATACATGGGTAGGAGAACTGTTCAGAGTGTCTGTTTTAAAAAGCCAGTGAAATGAGCCTGCATACCCTGCGAACTGTAATTTGGAGTGACAAATTTGACATACTCTGTCTAAGACAGCAGTAAGCTCACTTTAGTGTCTGACCATGATGGCTGCAAGAAGTAGCAATGATCTGCTCCCATCATTCAGGGAAGAGCAGAAATTTATAGAAAACCAATGATGGGAACCAGTCCAGAAATATCAAAAGAAATTTCCCTACAAACATTCAAAAATTGTGTCTAGATCACCACAAAATAAACCTGTTCTTAAGCAAGAATTAACGATATTGTTTTATTTTCTGGAGCAATATACATATGAGATTTTTCCCTATGAAAATGATCAAATCATAAATTTAATTTTTAGGATAAAGTTTTCCCTTTATTGTGTCTCATTTTGAGGGGAGGGTGGCAAGGGAGAACTTAAGAATCTGGTTATCTTTAAAGGAGGTTTTCAACCTAATGCTTTAAGCAGTGAACTGTGATGGGTAGAAATCTATCTTGTACTTGTCACATCTATATTAAATTATCTACTTTTTTCATTTTACAAGGGAAGACGTGAGCAGAACATTACTCAGCTGTCAGGATACAGGACTGTGCTGCTGAGCAGAGAACAAGTGAATATATTTTACAGAGCTGCAAATCAAGCACAAAGGTACCAGAACAGGGATTTGTGTCGCTGGTTTTACTTACTGTGGTTCCTGGAAGGCTGTTTTCAGCAGGCTTTGTTTTGACTGCTTTTTGCTGTGATGATATTTAAATCTGAACAATGGCCCTTTCTTGGGTAAAAATAGTGTCTCTTGACTACAACACCACAGATAAGGACTGGAAAAATAGTGGTAGCTATAACCAACTACAAGTTGATGGATGTAAAGACACCATGATGACTTATGCAGACGGTCCTTACCTTACTACTTAAAGGGTAATAAAGAACAACCCTTGCAATCCATTTCTTGTATGTTTTGCAGGTATTCTGGCTCATTACCTTAAAATATAGTGGGTTATAACAACATTAAGAGATAGCCTGAGAACATTTTTGAGATCTTATCCATCCTTATCAAGGCTCTAGTTGATAAAACAGAAGAAGAAATGCACAAAACTTCCTGACATGTTTCCACATTTGTCTTGCAAGCTGACCTTAAGGCCTTAGCTTTCGTTGTCATCAATTCCTCCACTTAATGGAATACAAATACAAAAGGAAAAGATGTTCACTGTAAGGATAATTCTGGAAATAAAATAATTTCAACCCTGTAGGGTTTGAAAATGACAGTAGGCTAGTCTGGAATGCTATCTCAGGCTGAGCTGTGATCACAGTGGATGGGCAAGGGATATGCTTGGGGAAGGCTAAATGATGGATTTAGTATTTAAAAAAAAAGAATGGAAAAACCCAGATAGTTTCTGTGCCTTCCACTTCCTTGAACAATATTTTGTGCCACCAGTAAGTAAGAGCAGTAACTTTTACTTGTGAATATAAAAAGAAGTTAAATGTGGGCTTGTTTGCATGAGGAAGTTACTGTACAATACAAATAGGATGTCAATTTACAAGGTGTTAGCAAATTTGTGACGTGCGGATGTACTCAGTACACTGGAAAGCAGCCTCACTTGGCATTTATTGCTCACTGAAAACATCCATACAGGATGATAGCAGCATTTAGCTAGTGCAGCCTGTATTTATAGCCTAATATATCATATGGTAAGTTTATAATAAAGATAAACCTCACAACACAAACAGAGGAATAAAGTAATAGAAAAGGTAGATTATTCCATTAAAAAAGCAAGCAGTCAAAAAGGGAAAATATCAACATGCTGCATAAAATTCTGCATAAAAATACAGATAGTCCTGCCTCATATACTCCTAACTTCCACCCTGAAGACTCACTGTGCATGAAGAGATGGACATGAGTTGTTGCCAAAAACATGCTGGATCTAGAATCTGCAGACCCTGCCTCCAAAAGTGCAAGGGATGCACATGGTGTACTTTCCCAGCTCATTTTCAGTGGGAAAAAAAACAGATGAGCTGCCAAAACGAGAGCAATCTCCAGTGTCATCACAAAGTGCTGAACTCGGCCTATGTCACCGTGTCTCTTCTCCGCTCAGTCCCATTTCCCCTCTCACCAAATCCTTTCAGCAGCTGCGCTGCACGTGGTATTTGGTTACACACAAGCCTGCTCAGCTCTTGTTTGATCTTGTCTGTTTACCTTAGTCACGTTAAATGCACTAAATCTATTTTCCAGCTTATGACAAGTGCTTCCCTTACTTTTTTCTTTCCCTTCCAGCATCCTAAACATCTTAAATGCTGCCCACAGAAATGCTACTGCTTTCGACTTTCCATTTTCTGCATTAACAGTAACATTATACACAGATTTATGTGTAACATTGAGTTGTTAAGTTCAGCAGGTTTTCGCAGTTCCTTAGCGATGTGCCCAGTACAGGGATGTGTAGAAATTTTACATGACTGGGACATGCAATGAAAAAGGGCAGCCAACTGAAAGGATCAAGAGAAAGGTGAAAAAAATTGTTGTAGCATTGTTAACGAAATGGTCTAAACCCCTCCCCATCAGATACTGATTCTTTAATTACTTCTCAAATAAACTCAAATCCGTACTTTTTTTAAATTGAAAATTTCTAGAAGTTAGATAACTTGATGAAGCTGAACTGTGACTTTTTATATTCTATCCTCCTGCCATTCTTGCTTTCTGTGTTATATCCCAATGTTATTTTCTTAACTTGTATAACTTATTTTGGAAAAGGACTGTATTTTTACTCTTCATTAAAATACCATAGACTCCTACTTATTTACCCAATAAGAAATGGAAAGGGCTCTGGCCATTTAGGAAATGTGGCAGTATATTGTTTATGAACTCTACCTGGAAATGAGGAGCCAAAAAAAACCCAACAATAAAGAAAAAAAAACAAGAGAAGCAAGAGGAACACTGAAAAGGACAAATTTCCTACACAGAGAAAAGTTTTTTGTTTTTTTTTTTATCTGCAAACCTCCTGAAGTTGAACGGCACTGCCTGAGAAGGTCAAAGAGGGACAGCCCGTGTCTGAAAGAGATCGTTTCAGCTGAAGGGGCATTTGAAGACAGGCAACTCAGAATCCTGCCAGGACACACAGCCAAATCCTAAAGAATAATTGTTAGCACTGAAAGACAAATAAAATTGAGCTGACTCTTCTTTCTAAATAAGCCCTTTTTTTTTGTGCTAAAGCAGAGAGATTGCTTTTGAAATCCGGCTGCAAGTCTGTGCACATTTCATGGTTATGCTAGTGACTGTAAGGCTGAAACCAGCCCACCAGATGGAAGGCAGGAAAAAGAGGTAATTAACCTTCCCAAGCACCCTGGCACAGYACTATTGGTCCCGGAAACTCACGGAAGGCGAGCTGAAAGATCACACTTTTAACTAATGGTGTCAAACAGAAAATCTGTGCCAGGACGAAGGCTGAAGATGGTGCCTGGAGCTGGGCCAGGCCGGTGGAGAAACAGGCAGGCCCACAGCTGGAGAGGCCCCTGCAGCGCGGGAGTGCGGAGCCCAGGAACACTGAGAGCTGCAACCGGCGCCTTCCAGCACTGGGGAATGGGCGCTGGGTGTTTCCAAAGGGAACTGGCTCCTCTGAGCACATCCCCTTTTCTGAGGTTACAGATCACTTGGGAAGTTCATGTTACAGAAATATGGATCTGAACATTCCCAAGTATTTCTCATTTTAGAAAAACTGAACTGTACTATAAAGACATGGATTTTGTACTGAGTCATGCAATTAATTTTTTACTATATAATCATCAGGCATCCATCTCATTTGTTAGATTTCTTTCACAAAATTGATAAATTGTGCAGAAAGAAAACTGMGGGGAAACACTGGTGTTCTGGAGAATCTAAAATCAGGATCTTGATTGTAGCGCAGAGCTCCCCTGCCTGCACACTGCAGCTGTGTGGCTTTGGGCTGGCCTCCGCACACGGTGCCTGTGTCACATCTCAGGTACAAACTGCACCAAATTTACCCCCAGGCAGCTTCATAACCCGTCACATTAGGTAAGAGGTGTGTGTGACATTAAGTAGTACTTGTGCATGGCCCTACTGCTATCAAGATATTTGACACCGAAAACTCACATATTGCAGTTGCTCTAAAATAATTAGTGATTGCAACTTTGTCCCTGGCTACCAGGACACCATGTAAAGCCCAGGCCTGTACCACCTGCAAACACATTTGAACAGGGAAGGTCTGAGGTGCTGCCAGAAAGCTGAATATCAGTAGAAAGAATACATTTTCTCAGAGAAATCTGCAGCAAAAATGCACACMTGACATCATCATCACCATTATACTAGTGAAGTCGTAGAGTAAATGGGTGCTGTTTGCTTACTCTGACATCGAATACGAAAATACAAAACAGTGTGTTTCTGTGTGAGCATGACAAAGTTCCTCTTCTAAAAACAAATACAAAAATAGCTAGTTTTTAGGCCAGAAGGAAAACTGGTTGCAGTAACCAAAAAATGCTAACAGGCTTTATACCTAGAAGTTCCTGATCAAAGCTATGTTCCTTTTCAAATTTCTTTTTTTTTTTTTCTTGCTACCTGTAATTTTTTCATCAGGTTTTAATCACACATATGGAACTGCAGCAGTACTGAAGGGAATGACTCCTATATTTGCTTTATTTCTTTTTGCAGAGGATGGAGGCTGAGGCCTAAAGCCATGATTTTGTCTTCATGCCTGTGTGCAACATATTTCAAGGACAGAGCACTGGACTGTAAACAAAAGGGACAGCTKTAAGGTCATGAACATTCCTGGAAGCCTATTATACACAGCACAATGTGGGAAGAATATGGAAATGGCACTGAGCTTCAGCAATATGCATTTTGCGCTGACTTGTACATGTTTTTAAGAACCCAAGCTATTTCAGATTCTATTAGATCTCTGTGTTGTATCATTTAATGTGTTACAAAGCAGCTCCGGCAAAACAGGGAAGGGGTGGAGGGGAAGAGTATGAATCTCATGGCACTGCATAACAGAACCTTCTTGAGTCTGTTTTTGTATTTATTGAAATTTACAAAATCTATATAAAATTGGGAATTTCAGTGCTAGCTATAAAGACCACATTGAGGCAACTGAAGAGGTATTAATTGAAAAGAGAAGCATTATCAATTTCCAGGGTACTTCTAGGGTATTTTAGTCATACAATCTTCCATTTTGCTTCCATGTTATCAGTCTTCACCCAGATCCTTTTCTACTTACTCTCTAAACAGAAAAGAAAACACAGTCTGGATGGCCCTAAAGTTAAGAAAGTGTCATGATCCCAAGAAAGGGCAAAAATCCTTCGCAGTATATTGGCTTTTTTTTTCCCTTTTTCTCTTTTCTCTCCCCCCCCCCCCCCCCCCCCCCCCCCCCCATTTTTTTTTTTTTTTTTTTTTTTTTTTTTTTTTTTTTTTTTTTTTCCCCCCCCCCCCCCCCCACACACACACAGAATAGTGTTTTCAAGTCATGTTTTTCCCTGCATATTGTGTTTACTCAGAGTTTTTGGTGATGCTCCAATAGAAAAACGTCTGCATGTGCCATTCTAAAAACCTTTTCAGAGATGTAAATCATTAAAGACACAGTGTCTCAAAACCGTACAGAAGCAGTGGAAAGCAGAATCCCTGCTGGCTGCTGTTCATAGCTGCATTATGTCTTGCTTTCTCCTTACCTTCATTAACATTTCCACAGGAAAATCATTCTCTGTGATCTGCTCAGCCACAGCCTATGTCCAAACCAGTATCTCCTCATGCAACAGGCTACTATGATGGTTGGCATAAAATGAAATAGGTAGTCTCAAAATCGTAATTCTTTGGTTTGTCACTTGGTCCTTGGCCCTGCAATTACACGGATAAGCTACATAATGCTTGCACATTATTCTTTCTGCATATTATGTGCCAAGAATGTCATGAAGTCAAGTTCAAAAAAATCTCCCACCTGCTCCTAACACCTCCCCCTTCCTAACTAAGCCCTTACAGAGCAGAGAGACCTGGGTGCAGGCCCCGGAGGTCAGCAGCCTTGAATTCCACTGCAGCAGCAGGGGCAGCAAATTCCACAATTAAGAACTAAAGCAGGAATGTCAGAGTCCCCAGCAGCTTCGGGTTCCACTCAAAGCCTGAAAGGGATCCTGGTTAAAAATCAACACCTTGGAGTACCCCTCCACGCCAAGGGAGACCAGCGACTCTTGCCGCACRGAACCACCCTATTCCTGAACACAGGGCTGCTGTTTCTTTGGTGCTACAGGGCTGGGTCTGCAGCAAGCTTGGTTCTCAGMCGAGAAGGCTCCTCCTCTGCTCCTGCTCGTCCACGACCCAACAAGGAGCCCAAGCAAGACAATATATTTTCAGCAAGAGCTGAACAGTGAGAAGTGACCTGAGATGGTCTTCAACAGAAGGGAAATCAGGCAGAAAACATATTTCTCACTGAAGTGTTCTAATTATCTCCTTTAATGTGGTTATAATAAAACCCTTTCCGTTCTACAGGTCTCCATAAGGAATCCAAACATCACAGCAGAAGCGAAGCATTTTGGCAGCACTTGCCTTGAGTATCTGCTCAGTGCAATGGACCCAACTCTCCTGCAGCAGCCCTGCCCCATTCCCAGGAAGGATGATCCGTATGCGAAGGGCACAGCAAAAGAGAGGAGGCAGCAAAGCAGCTCCGAGCGCCAGCAGCTTCCAACCCTGCCAGGCAGGTTCACATCCCATTAGCAGAAAGAAACACAAAATGTTCCATTTGTAGCCTCTTGTTTATATTACACTAAAGGCTCTGGGGAATAACTTAAAAACAGAGTCAGCTAGGGCAAGAGTGAAATCTGAAGTTTTGAAGGAAAAAAAAAAAAGAGAGAAGAAAGGAAGGAAAAAAAATGTAAGAGAGGCAGACAGGTACTGAGGGAAAGGAATAAACTTACTGAGAGGAAAGGAGCAAATAACTGAACAAAAGACATGGATTCAGAGGCGGGGCTGGGCATCCAAGTGGGAATCCGCCTCCCACCTCAGCTAATTCCAGATCTCAGCCAACAGTCGTACGGAACACAACTTATCTTGGCACTACTGCAGGGTGATATTTTAGCTAAGTTGATTATTTTAGAGTGTTTCTGCACTGCACTGAGATGCAAACATGTTTTTTGTGGATGTCAGAAATATTAGGTTTATTTTTCCTCCCCCCCTCTTTTTTTTTTCTTTTGCAATTTAATGAAGCCAAGATAAATAAGCATTCTCCTCCATCGCCTCTGGAACGCTCTGCTAATGCACCAAAGCCCTGAGGCAACCCGAGGGGACCTACTTGCAAAGCAGCTCCTGCTTTATTTGCTCTCCATGGCAAGAGTCGGGTGCCCGGGAGGAGCTGGCACACAGGCAGGACTCCAGGGCTCAGTGCACACCCGGAGCAACCAGCTATTCCTTCCTTCCCAAGACAGAGTGTTGGTGCATGAGCCTCTCTCCACTCAGATTCAGCACAAAAACGATGCCCCAGGATGACATTAACAGCCACTGCTGTGGCAGAGGGAATCGTTCAATGTTTCTTCTGATCATATTCCTAGCAAGAACAATATTGTTAATAAATTCACCTGAAGTCTCCACTAGAATTTGCATCTCCAGTTTTATGCTGTTTCGAAGCTTTCCTGGGCGCTTTACAATAGKTGCAGCCTTTCATCACAAATGCAATCTCATTTTAAGACTGGAACAGTCTGAACCCTACAGGCCCCAGAAACACTCTCTATTACACATTAACTGAATGTTCAGAAATCTCCTTAAGAACAACAGCTAAAGGTAATTTTAAAGTTTAAATACATATATATATGCATATGCATAAATACAGTTATTTCATCTCTTAAAGAATGAGGATATTCTGGCAAGCAAGTGATCTTAGAATTTGTATTATTTTCTTATCAGGTCAATAGAAAAGGATTTTCTCTGCAGATATTTGAAACACACTGCTGCTAAATCCTATGCAAAACCTGGAGTGCGTTATTCCAACATGTGTTTTCATTTTTTTTCTATCACAAAAATAGCTAATTACACAGCATTGTTTATTTATTTATAGCTGTGTGACTTTGATGCTTCTGCTGCCTATCAGATTCCAAAATTGTTTTCCTCACTGAGCAGTTTCAGCCCGGGCACCTGCTTGTTAATGCAAATACCTGAACAACTGGGAGCTGGCCTGAAGCCACCTCCCCTCATTCCATGTATGGAATAAACTGCTCATTTTGTATCGTACTCTGGGTTATTACTAAAAGGAAAAGCAAGGGCTATATCCTCCAGTGTTATACCTGCCAAATCTCCACAAGCTTCAGCAGAGCAATGCTAATTTACACCAGCTGAGGAACTGGCCACACTTTTGAATTTCACATGAAAATTCCCTCAACTCTTCACCACTGAGACCTTTGAGCGCTGCGTCACTGTGGGGGCTGGATGTGGAACAAAAGGGTTTTCTTTGATACTTGCTGAAAATGGAAACTATCATGAGCAATGATGTGCCGACTGTGAGGCCTTTTCAGGGACAACTTGTGCAGAGGGAAGGGACGAGCCCCGGCGAGCACAGGGGCTTTCGGAGAGCGGCACTGTCCCCGGCCTTGGCTCACACCGCAGAGCCGCTCGTGCCAAAGGGAAAAAGAAGTTCACCCTCTGTTCTCTTATGGCAGCATTTATCATGGAAAAGGACTTCAGGGATAAGATACTGGCATACAAATATAGGTATAGRTACAGTATTTACAGGTATAGGTGAACAGTTCCCTTCACCCAAGACTAAACTGGAACAAAAGAATTATTCARTATTTCAGAGTTAAATTTCACTGCAGTCTTAGGAAGTGAAGAATACGACAGCTAAATTAAATTGTAGCTTGGCACAAGGTAAYGATCCTTCCAAAAAGCTTCCTTTGCCTCCTAAAAATCCTTCCTTAAAAACTGAACTGTTCTATAATAGTCTCTAAAATGCATCTATGTACAAATACACAAAAGACATTTTTAGTGAAGAACTTCATATACTCATCTTCTTCATTTATAATGCAAATGATTAAAAGAGGATCTCTCTTTAAAATTAAATTCAGAGCAAAAATRATGTAAATATGAAAGGGTCACTGTCAATTTAAAGACAGAATACTGCCTAATAAACATTCTCTTGCATTTGTCTTATATTGTATCTACTCCTTGTGTTTAAGTCTTTGTGAAGTTTGAGCTCTGGATTTCCCCTGTTTGTACAGATCTTTCACACAGCCAAATAGAGGAGAAAATATTTTGAAAAATGAGCATAAAACCACAGAAAGTTCAGTGTTTTCAACAGCAGCTGTTAAGCAACCTACTTATATACTCTTTTAAAGTAAAGTTTTCAGACAACTTATGTCCAATTTAGATGAGTCTAGCTTGATCTGAAAGACATTTTATAAAGTGAAAATGTGCAAAGAACATTTGTAGCCTGCATGTAGCCTTTCTTTCAAAAGAAGTTCCACACAAGCATTTGTCTGAGGTGCCAGTTCTTTTTCTCTGTTCTTATTTAGATGTTTGTTTTGGGAGGGGGTGCAGCAAAATAACAGCTAATGAATAAGAATCCACCTTATTTTCATCAGCAACTACATGATTCATCCTCCTACAGCTGAAATAGGGTGTTTTCCCAGCCAGGATCTGAACTCCACATAAAATTACCAACTCTGCTCTACTSTGATCACAGACTGATCTGGATGTGTTTCCATGTTCTCCCTGTTAAAGAGGGGCTGTCTGTGAACTAGAGCTACTGCCTTGTTCTGACAAATGATTCCTAACTACAGACCAAGGTACTGGATTCTGAATGTACCGTAATTCTGAATCTAGACACATGTTTCTTCAGCCAACCTTCCCTCCTATCAGCAGCAATGAAACGCACACATGCTTCAYACAGGATTTTGCAATCACATTTTCAATTTCACAAAAATAGAATCCCTAAGTGTTTGAACATGCGGTTCCCACTTTATTTCTATATTTGGGACATTACTTCAGATTATTGTTGCAAGCAACTCTCACTAAAAGAGAATGGGAGAAGGACAATGTCTAAGTGCCAAGTCGTGATCGTGGAGGAGTTCCCTATTACTCCGGGCTCTGCAGAAGCTGTTTTGAGGCACTGCAGAATACCTTGATTTGTTGCACGTTACTGCAAGGTGAAAGAAAACCTCATCATCTGATCACCGCCGTATCCTTACAAGCCCTGAAGATAAAGTATGGGAAATCTATAACTGCAATGTTATGTCTGTTGCTGCTGCACTCTTTACTAATCAATCAACGCCTCTCGACAAAGCTCTTGCAGTCTCCTCCTATAGCAGTTAGCCCTATAATCAGCTCGACAAAAACAGCTGAGATGCATCCTTTGTGCTTCCATGTCATTTACACATACTAAAAAAATCACTCAGCGTGCTTATTCATAACATGTTATGGAGTATAAAGTGCACCATATTAGTGTGCTATAATCATAGCCATTATTTAAATAGGCTAAAACATCTTTTACATTCTAAAGTAAATTCCACTATTAAGACCAAATGGATTAGATCATTGTTCCCACATTTCCTTCATAAGTAAAACACAATTGCTAAATAACTCCAGGACCTTCCTGTGCATGCACAGCAGGACTGGTGTTTTGTGACACACGTGACTGTTCTAACAATTTGTAAATCATCTGATTTACAGACATCTGACTGACTTTGATAATGAAAAAGAAACTTCTGTATTTTACAAAATTATTCTCAACAAATACTTCCCTGTTTGAACAACAGTTATCAGTGGAGCAAAAAGCATTTCCTGCTGCACGGATACAAGCCTAAGCTGCTSCTATGCTGCTATTTCAGACACGAGGCCATCCCGTAGCACGTATCGATTCACTCACGTTTCCCTCGCTGTGAGTCTCGGCAGGCCTGTCTCACCTATGGTTAGGCCAGTCRTTTTCACCCCCACTGTTAAACAAAAGTTCAGCCTTAGGAAGGCTAGCGGTGCACGTAGCATTCTACTTAGCTCTTCTGCAGGTGAACAGTGCAGAGGGRAAGGGGCAAGGAGCCCTCTGCTCACCAGCCTGTCCATCCTCCCCATCTAACATAGCCTCTCTACGGRAAGGTCATCAGACCCCATGCAATCAGAATCCGGTGTCAGCTGCACAAGACTCTCAAGGAAAGTCACCTGCTCTGGACTCAGGCAAAGATTTAGCTGCAAAGCCATCCATGAGAAGTGGAGACAACAGGTTAGAGCACTGGCGAGGAGGCCACGTCCCTCGTGCTCCACTTGCTTTCAGGGCCAGAACTTACGGCGCGCTGCGTTGCACGGCCCTCAAGAAGACAGGGAGGGGGAAGACAGTCTGGTCACTGCTGTGTTGCCTGATCCTTGTGAACAGTCGTGAGCTAATGACATTTAACTCGGTTACATGCGAGCTTTCTAAAGGTGTCAGCATGGTAAGAAACTATTTCTGTCATAGGCAAACAACTCGGGCAAACTTCTGCCTACTAGAGATGATAAAGGCAGACATTAACACATTGCAGGAGATGTACATTCTACACACAAAACATACTATGGTCACAATATGCTCTTTACAGATAACTTGTTTGCTAGACATTTTAATAATAAAA